AGTGCTGTGATGTCACAGCTCACAGCAACCTCAAACTCTTCGGCTCAAGCCATTCTCTTGCCTCGGCCTCCCAAGTAGCTGGGACTACAGGCACCCGCCACAATGCCCGGCTATTGTTTAGCTGGGCCTGGCTGGGTTTGAACCCACCATCCTTGGTGCATGTGACCAGCACTGAGCCAACCAAACCCCTTTTATCAAGATGTCAACTAATTGACTTTCTCTCTCTCCCTCTCTCTCTTTCATCTAAAATGAGTGAGCCTCCTAGGGCAGGAGAAAGAGAGCGGAGAGCAAGAATTTATCTAAAGGAAAGAATCATTCAGTGAAATTGAAATATCATGTCATGCAATTTTAGAGTTAAATGAGGAGAGGGGACAGAAAACTTCTGATTGATCATCTAACGAAGAAAGGAAGAGTCAGGACACACTGGGCTCTCCGAATATTCAATCAGGTTGCAGTGAGCTATGATGGCACTGCTGCACTCTAGCTGTGGTGACAGAGTGAGACCTTGCCTCAAAAACAAAACAACCTCCAGATTCAAGGATCCTCCTACCTTAGCTTATGAAATAGCTGGGACAAGAGGCAGGCAATACCCCACCTGGCTACTCTTTTTTTAAAAAGAGCCTGGCACCTGCTCTCTCTCTATTTCCTCTCTCACCACCTGATCTCTGCACATACCAGCTCCCCTTCACCTGCTACCATAAATGGAATCAGCCTAAGGTTCTCACCAGATGCCCAATCTTGCAGCCAGCAGAATTCTCAGTCAGATAAACTTATTTTCTTTATAAATTACCCAGCCTTAGATATTCCTTTATAGCAACACTAAAGAGACTAAGACAGACACCCACTTGGTGTCTGCACAGAATTTCAGAATTGCTTAGTGTGAAAAGAACCCACACATTAGCATGATAGAACTGTGCTGTGAGGAGAGAGGAAAGCAGTTTCCCCTTTCAGTCAAATAGGCTTTATTTTTTCTCTTGGTAGTCACCTTTATTTATTTATTTATTTATTTAGAGACAGAGTTTCACTTTATC